GCCTATGTGACTTATACAAATACACACAGCGCCATCTATACCAATATTTTTGTTTTCCCTCGGGAATATCACATTTTTCCGGGATAAAAAGTACCCTATTATTTAATCCGGACTTCTAACTTTACGTCTGTAAAAATTCAAAGCAATCGGTTTAGTAGTTACGGCGTGAAAGCGGAACAAACAAACAAACAAACTCACTTTCCAATTTATAATATTAGTAAGGATTAAACGTTACCCCACACTATGGTTTTCTCATATGTGTGGTTTTTGGTAGAATATGATTCCTGTTTTATCGCATGGGAGCATTTAATCGAAACAAAAAGTATCCTATCACCTAAGTCAGCCCATACCCTGTCTGTATTCGGAATCGCGGAGAACTTAACGAGTAACCGGGGCTCCCGCTCGACGTGCAGGAGAAGGAACGGGGTGGTTTTTAGTCAGTAAGAGTCTGACACTCCCTCCCGCCTCACCCAGGTGGGAGCAGTCATTCGATGACTGATGATAAATCTGTTTAGTAGTTTCAGCGTGATTGACGGACAGAACATACAAACAAAGAAATCAACATTGATAATATTAATCAGATTGTTGTTATTTCATGTATTAACGTAACATAACATAACATCACGCCTTTTTATCCCCGAAGGGGTAGGCTGAAGTGCACGTTTCGGCGCTTAACCCTTTGAGTACCGTCATTATAGACACAATTAAAGACCAATAGGTTGCGGTCACCGGTGTCCTCGCAGTGTTTGACAGTTTAATGCCACTGTACAATGTAGCACCCACTTTTCACTATTTATATGTTATGAGTCCCATGTAATAGGGGGTGAGCCTATTGCCATAGACCGGACACATTTCCAGAATCCGTGCTAACTACTACTGAGATTTTTAAAAACCCAGTAATACTTTGCCCGACCCGGAAATCGAATCCGAGACCCCTTGCCCGGCAGTCGCACTTGCGACCACTCATGAATTGACTATAAAAATAAACAATTGCTCTTGTTTTCCCTATACATCGGACACAACCCCTCACAAACACAGCGCCCCCTACCTGCGGGGGTGTCCGGATTGACGGCTCGCATCTCATTCTAATAGACTTTACGAAAGTAGATTTATATCAATTTACTACTAACACTTTAATGCCCAGGGTAGAAAGGGACACTTTGGGACTATATGTTTTATTTATTTTTTTATAGCATAAGCCGGTAAACGAGCAAATGGATCACCTGATGGTAAGCAATCGGCGTCGCCAATGGCTTTACAAGTGCGTTACCGTTTGGGGATTAGGAGTTTGAGGATCGTTGGGGATTCGGGGATTGGGGAGATTGGGTAAGGGGAGGGGAGTAATCGGGCCTCTTGTAACCTCACTCACACGACGAAACACAACGCAAGCGTTGCTTCACGCCGGTTTTCTGCTCGGCCGTGGTATCACTCCGGTCGAGCCGGCCCATTCGTGCCGAAGCATGGCTCTCCCACATCTGTAAATCTAAGTATAAATAGTTGACATTTCCAATATCTTAAACTGTACTCGTTAAAAGCAGAGCCGAATTAAACAAAGTGAAGTGCCTTAGGCAAGCATCTTACTGGCGCCCCTAATTTTTTTTGGCGCCGCCGTCACTCCATGGTGGCTTGTTCGTCCGTGAGTCACTTAAGGAGCCAGTAGAATACCAGTATACCAGCGCAAGGTCGCGGAGAACCTAACGGGTAACCGGGGCTCTGGCTCGACGTGCAGGAGAAGGAACGGGGTGGTGTTTAGTCAGTAAGAGTCTGACACTCCCTTCCGCCTCACCCAGGCGGGAGCAGTCATTCGATGATTTACCCCTCTTAAAAAAATAAATACCAGCGCAACGCCCTGTCTTGCACATGCTGAACTGGTCCCATTGCGCGGCAGACTTGGGACATGAACATGTATCCATCAGTACCTACTAATACAATGACTTATTTGTGCATGTCACTTGTTTTTTGGCGTGAAATAAAGATATTTTCTTTCTCTCTTTCTTTCTTTCCATGGGCACGCGCGTCTCGCAGCGTCGCGTCGTCAGCGCCCTTCTGTAACCTGGCGCCCTAGACAGGGCCGTCTTAGACTACGCTGGGGCCCTTGATTACATAAGAAAGATGAAAGAAAGAAAGAAAAACAGTTTATTGGCACCATTACAGAAAAACAAGAAAAAAGGATGAAAAAATGAAACAAGAATGCGGAGTCCTTGTGGAATTTTACGTATTTTTAATTTTTTAACGTTGTACCATAGTAGGATTTTCTCCTGTGTCGTGGGTACATTTACAAATATACAGTTCACATACACATGACACCCAAACCCAGAACAACAATTTGAGGATCACACAAAGATTTGGTCCGTACGGGAATCAAGCTACACGTAGCGGGGCAGCCGATTGGCGCGCGACGTGTAACGAGTGTGTGCATTAAAGTCAAAGTCATGATTTTGACTTTGACTTTATTTCAATTAGACCAGAAAGGCACTTTTGAACGTCAACAAAAAATTTTAAGTGAAGCTATTTGCTCATTCCAAGGTGTAGATTCCTATGGAGAAAAACGAGCAAGAAACTCCATAGGTTACTCTATTTCAATCAGGTTCACAATACAATTTACTAGTTACATAGTTTTGTTGTTTAGATTGTGCGAGAACAATGTAACACTAAAATCCAGTCAAAGAGATTGAAAAAGAAAATAATCTTAAGGACAATAAAATAATACAGTCTGGAGCTGATCAGTCCCAGTTCATCGTAGAAATTGTCGTACCTTCAGGGGCCCCAGGGGCACGGGCTCCGAGTGCCCTTATGGCAAAGACGGTAGGTACTTAGGCCCCTTTTTTTTAAGGGGGGAAAATCATCGAACGACTGCTCCCGCCTGGCTGAGGCGGAAGGGAGTGTCAGACTCTTACTGACTAAAAACCACTCCGTTCCTTCTCCTGCACGTCGAGCCGGAGCCCCGGTTATCCGTTAGGTTCTCCGCGACTCCGAATCAAGGTACTTAGGCCTCTAAGTACTTGACTAGTTTGCCTTAGACATAATACGGCCCTGGCGTTAAAGCATTTCCTAATACCCTAAGGACTGCACGGTTAATTCAAAATAGGTTTAACGTTCGTCCTAGACTTTGTACCTCGTATTTATAGTACTAGAAACTAGAGCCACGTGTTTGTTCGAGGCAATTAAGATAATTATGTTTGTTTCGGAAGTAATATATTAAATGTGTGAGGATAGAAAGATTTATTTTTATACTAGCTTTTACTCGCGGCTTCGCACGCATCACAAAAGGATAAAAAGCCTATGTGACATATGCCAATACACACAGCGCCATCTATACCAATAATTTCGTTTTCCCTCGAGAATATCAAATTTTTCCGGGATAAAAAGTGCCCTATTATTTAATCCAGACTTCTAACTTTACGTCTGCAAAAATTCAAAGCAATCGGTTCAGTAGTTACGGCGTTAAAGCGGAACAAACAAACAAACTCACTTTCCGATTTATAATATTAGTAAGGTTACTTGAAAGATTGACGTTTAGCTACCACCTCGCCTGACGGTGCTCAATGATGCCGACGATGGAGCACGTCGACCTATGAGCAATCTATTCACTCGGGCCTTGAAGACTCCCAGGTTATATCAGGAAATACAGACTCTGGCAAAGAATTCCACTCCTTAGCAGTACGCACAAGGAAGCTTGATGCGAAGCGCTTCGTACTGTGGGTGGGACATTTATCATGAATTGGTGACGCTTCGCCGATTGTCTTGTGGAACGATCATGGTAAGGATTAATATAAAAAAATTCAAATTCAAATCACTTTAATGCATCTATAGTGTGTACAGTGTAAAAAGTGTGTACAGGTAGACCTAATGCCCTGGGCATAGTCTCCCTGTCAACCTTTACGTACTGAAGAGATGAAACTAGAATGTCAGAGATAATATAACAGAAGAAAAAAGAAACACAACTTAACACACCTTTTTATCCCCGATGGCAGAGGTACATATTACGGCACTTAATGCCACTGTACACTGTAACTCACACTTTTCACTATATATGTTATTTATTTATTTATTTCAATTAAATAGTATAACATTACAGTCACAAAACCAAGGCGTTATACATTTCAAATAATTATAAAAAAAACAAAAAAAACAGAAAAGTCCTTAAAATAAAATAAACAATAAGAATAAGAAAACCTTACAAACTATGACAGGTCAAACTATGTTATGAGTCCCATGTAATAGGGGGTGAGCCTATTGCCATACCTATACCGGGCACAATTCCAAACTACATGCTACCACTGAAAGTTAAAAAATACCCAGTAATACTTTGCCTGACATGGGAATCGAACTCGAGACCCCTTGCCGCACTTGCGACCATTTTTTTTTTTTTTAAGGGGGGAAAATCATGGAATGACTGCTCCCACCTGGGTGAGGCGGGAGGGAGTGTCAGACTCTTACTGACTAAAAACCACCCCGTTCCTTCTCCTGCACGTCGAGCCGGAGCCCCGGTTACCCGTTAGGTTCTCCGCGACACTTGCGACCACTTGGACAAAGAGGAAGAAAATAAATATTATGCAACAATTAATGTCAATAAACTTTTGAGAAATTCCTTTTTAAAAGGCAGACACCGCAACTGTGACTCCTCTGGTGTTCCAGGTGTCCATGGGCGGCGCTGATCGCTTACCATCAGGTGATCCGTCAGCTCTTTAGCATCCAATTCCATAAAAAAATTACAACGTAACAACTAATCAACTGGATAATTAAATCATTCATATAATCCGCTATAACTCCCAAACCGGTTGCCACCGGCTTTACCCATAGGACGATATCACGCAAAACGTAAAATCCTAATAGTAAAAACCACTTTAAAAAAATAAAATTACAGTTCGTAGCGAAGATAGTTCGTCCACATGTATCGTATTTCCCATGCTACCCTTATTAGCATAGCTTTTGTCTCTACGCCTGTATATAAACGGGTCCCGTAGAATCTTAGGCACAGTTCGCAAAGAGATCTCAAAATGTTCAGTCCTCTTTTATTCTTCGCTGTGTCTATTAGCTGTGTACTCGCTAATAGTAATGAGATTAAGGTGAGTTTGTCTATACTAACTAATATTATAATTCGCAATACACACTATATAATATGATATTACTAAAACCAGCACTGTATCCTTACTAATATTATAAATCGGAAAGTGAGTTTGTTTGTTTGTTCCGCTTTCACGCCGTAACTACTAAACCGATTGCTTTGAATTTTTGCAGATGTATAGTTAGAAGTCCGGATTTATTTAATAAATAGGGTACTTTTTATCCCGGATAAATTTGATATTCCCGAGGGAAACCAAAGTATTGGTATAGATGGCGCTGTGTGTGTGTATTGGTATATGTCACGTTGGCTTTTTATCCTTTTGTGACGCGAGCGAAGCCGCGGGTAAAAGCTAGTATGTATATATTTTATCTAATAAGCCTTTTTCTGGATGGGAAAGGGAGTTAAGAGTCTTAAATTTTCATCAGTTGTGACGTCTCAAGTAAAAGGACGAGTCTATAGTTTTATTAATCTACATTAACAATTATTGATTTGTGAAAATTTATATTATTTTGCCTGCCTCGTTGGCCGAGTGGTGGCAAGCAAGGAGTCAAAGTCAAAGTCAAAGTTATTTATTGCAAACATAGGTAATAAGTACATAATACAGTATGTAGCATATATAATAATAGTGCGCTATATTTCGCCTGTCGGCATGCAATTAAGAAAATGTCAGATTCAATTTCTTTAGTGAGAAAAAAACAACATAAATGAACTAAATGATAACAATGTGTATAATTAATCAATGATATTATAAAGAAGATACGCTACGTTCATACTAAGCGGCGTCCAAAAATTGTTGCGTTCTTATTACAAATGTACTTAAATGTCATTTTCAACTACGTGCGACAGATAATACGGAAAGTATGGTACAGAAAGAGATAGCTATTTACAAATTACGACAATTGTCTGAATTCGTTCGCAACAATTTTTGCGTGCCAGTGCGATATCTACCTCTTTTTATTATTTATAATATCATTGTAATTAATAATGTCAAACAGAGAAGTCTATTAACACTACAATTATCCGTTCACAGTCACCTTACATTTATGTCAATATTAATTCTTATATCTCTCGGGTTCGATTGCCGGGTCGTGAAAAGTATAACTGAGTTTTTGTTCTGAGTTCCGAATACAGTGTACCTTACCTACTATCTATTGCACTGCTGCAATCCTACTGATATTTTAAAATATGTTCGTGTTTTACTTCTTCACGTAAAAACGTCTGAACGATTGGGATGAACTTCGGAACAAGGGTAGATTATTGTATTATAAGGCAATAGGCTCACCCCCTATCACATGGGACTCATAACATAAAATAGTGAAAAGTGGATGTTACATTGTACAGTGGCATTAAGTGCCGTAATGTGCACCTCTGCCTACCCCTTCAGGGATTAAAAGGCTTGTAGTTATGTAAAGTTGCTTATGGGACTACGTGCTCCATCGTAGACCGCATCATCGCTTACCACCAGGTGAGATAGTGGTCAAACGTCGGCCCATCAAATATAACTATATATAAAAAATGTTATGTAGATTATACGCCGTATTAACACATAGGTAACGCGGGCGAAACCGCTGGCAGTAGCTAGTACATTAAGTAATAATTAAGTAAAGTAACTTAGGTAGTTAAACCCTCTGTCTATGCCTAATATGGCAATAAGCTCACCCCCTATTACATGGGACTCATAACATAAATACTGAAAAGTGGGTGTTACTTCTGTGTGCACCTCTGCCTACCCCTTCGGGGATAAAAAGGCGTGCTGTTATGTTATGTGTCTATGCCTTCAGTCATGTATTGGTGTTTCTAGGATGGCGGATCGGATAGAGGAGCTCACAGCGACCGAGCGGGCCTGTGGTTTGGTCCTAGACTCGGCAAACGTTCCTTAAGAATATCTACTGAAGACAACAGGTTGGTATTATATTTACCTTTGGTCAGCAATGGCCACTCATAGACTGTTAATGATGATTTAAAAAAAAACAACAGTGATTTGACGTTTGTATGGAACTGAGATTCCATCCCTTAAAATACCGAAATGCTAAAGTTCGGTGTGTCCTATGAACCAACTGTCTTGTCAATTCTGTAAGGTTATATTTTACCGGAACACCATGGCGCCGCAATCAGCAGTGAAATATTAAGAGGAGAATAAAAACAATAATTAACACTTCCCACAGATATCTTTACAACTAATTTGACGAATATAGTTTTAAATGCCATCGTTTTCTTCCATAAAAATCTAACTAACTAACAAAACAACATCGGGTGCATGATTGGGATATACGTTTTCAAGTTTTCCGCTAACTATTCCTATTCTAGTCACCTACAAACTAACGTTTGTTTTTAGACAAGCATTCTTCAAACTATTGGAAGCAGCAGACGCATTGAAATATTACTACGACCGATTACCTTACGAGATGCAGGCAGATGAACCTGAAACCCGAGGTTAGTATAAATATCGCCATAAGCTAATGTTCTCATGTAAACCGCAGCTCATGTAAAGAGATTGTCCAGTCAACTGACGGTAGCGGTGACTGTCCAGGCGACACACGTACTTAGGTATCGTCATGAGCTAATGTTCACATGTAAACAGCAGCTCATGTAAAGAGATTGTCCAGTCAACTGATGGTAGCGGTGACTGTCCAGGCGACACACGTACTTAGGTATCGTCATGTTCACATGTAAACAGCAGCTCATGTAAAGAGATTGTCCAGTCAACTGATGGTAGCGGTGACTATCCACGCGACACACGTACTTAGGTATCGTCATGAGCTAATGTTCACATGTAAATAGCAGCTCATGTAAAGAGATTGTCCAGTCAACTGGTGGTAGCGGTGACAGTCCAGGCGACACACGTACTTAGGTATCGGCATCAGCATCGTTTACATGTAAACAGTAACTGATGGTATAATTTTGTCAACAGTTACCAAAAAAGTAATATTTACTCCTAAATTGGGAAGGAGTTTGGCTTACGATGACAAAGTATTTGAGAACGTTGAGTTCACTCCACGATTGGGAAGACGGTTGGCTGATGATATGCCTGCGACACCTGCTGATCAAGAACTGTAAGTATATCATTACCATTATACGCATGCTAACATTATCCCTGTTGCTCCTTCATCCTTTGGGGCTCCGGGATTCGCTTTCTTGTTTTCCCTCCCTTCATTCTCCAGTTCATTCGGTCTTTTAGATCCTAATTCGGTACTTGCCAACTAGTCAAATTCAATACTTTTTTTCGAACTGTCAAAAACGACAGAGTTTTCTATGAATTTTGTACGAGATTGTGTATTGTGACGTCACGTTTTTTAGGGTCCATCAGCATATTTATTTCTTAAAAATTTCTGGAAAGATACTAAAATTAAATTGGTCATAAAATTTCCACGTATATCAAAAGCTACCTTCAAGTAGTGTCTATTGCCATCATATACCCCAGAACTTAGGTCAAAGGTGACAGTCATCATCATTATTTATTATCGACAGATGACTGTCGAAGATATCATTAGAGACTATGAAGTCATGATCTTCTGATATCTGCTCAATTCTGATGATTCTATTTCAAGGATCCAAGACAGTTACTCATGTCTCTGGGACGCGGCGGACTTCAGTGTTCCGGTGTTTGCATGGTTGTATCTACTGTAGATCCTGGTGCACAGGAGTAGCAGTTGTTGTAGATAGGTAGATTAAGATGTATCAAAGGTTTAGGGAGCTATAGCTCATACCATTTAACATGGACCTCTGGCATATCTAACTACTTAGAAAAGAAACAATATAGTGTTTGTGCAATCATTTGCTTTTTTTTTAAAAAAAAAACGTTGCCCTACTATTAGGATTTTCTCCTGTGTCGTGGGTGCGTTTACAAACATACAAGTTCACATACACATGACACCCAGACCCGAAACAACAATTTGTGGATCACACAAAGTGTTGTTCCGTGTGGGAATCGAACCCGCGACACGTTGCACGGCAGCAGGTTGTCCAGCCAACGCACCAACCGTGCAGTAAAAGCATATTTATATTCTACCAAATTATTACAAACTACAGCTGTTGCCCGCGACTTCGTTCGCGTGGAATAGTGATTCACAGCTCCTCCCCTGTAGATGATAGCGTGATAATATATTCTCAAATATGATGACAAATGACTACCTCGTTGGCCGAGTGGTCGCAAGTGCGACTGCCGGGCAAGGGGTCTCGGGTTCGATAGCCGGGTCGGGCAAAGTATTATCTACTGTTTTTTTTATTGTCAGTAGTAGCACGGAGTCTGGAATTGTGCCCAGTTTATGGCAATAGGCTCACCCCCTATTACATGGGACTCATAACAGAAAAAGTAAAAAGTGGGTGTTACGTTGTACAGTGGTATTAAGTGCCGTAATGTACACCTTTGCCCACGCCTAAAAGGCGAGATGTTATGCTATGTTCTTCTTAAACCTTATCCCTTTTCTCTTCCTAATAGGTACAGACCAGACCCTGATCAAATTGACAGCAGGACGAAATACTTCTCACCAAGGCTTGGCAGGACGATGAACTTCTCACCACGACTTGGCAGGGAATTGTCCTATGGTATGTATCTTAATGGTTCATCTATCGACCACTTCGGGGTAGAAATCCCGAACTATATTATTTATTTTCCCAGTGTATGGTATCTTTCGATAGAATGAATATGCGATGTGTTGAATGAGCCAAAGTATAAAGGGTTTAAAAACAAATCTCAGTAGTAGCACCGAGTCTGGAATGACTTACTTATAGTCCTATGTCCCCTACATGGGGCAGAGGGCGTCCACAGAGGTTCTCCATCTCGATCGATCTCGAGCTTCTCGCTTCACCTCGCTCCACGTCATTCCGAGTCTGGAATATGTCCGGTATATGGCAATAGGCTCACCTCCTATTACATGGGACTGTTTTTATGGCATTAACCCGTAAACGAGCCGACGGATCACCTGATGGTAAGCAATCGGCGTCGCCCATGGACACCTGGAACACTAGAGGCGTTACAAGTGCTTTACCGGCCTTTTGGGGATTAGGAGTTTGAGGATCGTTGAGATTTAAGAATTGGGGAGATTGGGGACGGGGAGGGTAATTGGGTATCCTGTAACCTCACTCACACGACGATTACAACGCAAGCGTTGCTTCGCGTCGGTTTTCTGTGAGGCTGTGGTATCACTCCGGTCGAGCCGGCCCAGCAGTGCCGAAGCATGGCTCTCCCACACTTGTCGTTGCTACAATGTGAAGCACTTAATGAAGTCTAATATTAATCAATGTTTTTCTTCACAGATATGCTACCAAGCAAGCTAAGACTGGTCAGGAGCACCAACAGAACTCAATCGACGTAAATCTGACACAGGAGCCCGCCATTAAATATATAACCTAAAAATATAACAAACTTTGTACCTATAATGTAAAATAAATCGCTATTTTGGACGAAATAATGTACTGTTTTTGTATTAAATACGTAATTAGATAATATAACTTAGTGTTGTAAGAATAAATGAGTTTAATGTAATTTTAATTGTGTATTTATTTTGAAAAGGATACTTTTTTGTTTTTTGTTTTTCTTATGACACATAACATAACATAACATCACGCCTTTTTATCCCCGAAGAGGTAGACAGAGGTGCACATTTCGGCACTTAATGCCACTGTACAATGTAACACCTACTTTTCATTATTTATGTTATGAGTCCCATGTAATAGGGGGTGAGCCTATTGCCATATACCGGGCACATTTTTCCAGACTCCGTGCTACTACTGAGATTTATAAAAACCCAGTAATACTTTGCCCGACCCGGGAAACGAACCCGAGACCCCTTGCCCGGCAGTCGCACTTGCGACCACTCGGCCAATGAGGCAGTTTTTCTTATGATCCACTTTTTATTCAAAAAAAACTTCAAATTCAAATTCATTTATTCATTGTAGCTCACAGACATACACACTTAAATTAAAACTAACTATTACTTAAATAAAATTAAAACTAAATATTACTAAATTAAATATATACGACTTACGATTAAAATTAATTATAAGAAAAACAAAAACAACTATTTACATAGAGCATCGAAAAATTCAACCCAACAACAACCCTTCCTCCCAGAGACAATGTGACGAGCCGCTTTGCAGGTTGGTGCATAATAATCTAATTAATACCAGCACCAATCCTGCTGAATTAGCTCGCCTATTGGCTGTGGGTGAGTGGGAATCAGGCCTCTGGCTTCAGGCACTTCCGTCACTCAATATTGGCACGATGTTGAATGACTCAACTTTTCGGCTTGCTGCTTGCTTGCGTGTAGGTGCACCCTGTGTTACTCCGCATCGCTGTCAATGCGGTGAGATGGTCGACCACCTCCGCCACCACGGCCTATCGTGTAACAGAAGCGCGGGCCGAACACGCCAGCATTAACGATTAACGCCAACATTATCCCTCGAGCTCTAGTCATCGCCGGTGTGCCAGCTGTTGTTATTCATTGCGAATCCTAATTCGTTTTCATCCCGAAACGATTTAATTCAAGACTGACCATGGTCGTCTCGGTAATACAATAGTTTTACAACAAATAAAATGTTTAAAACAAAAAATAACTGACGAACCATAGAAAAAAGCAAACTTTGAATGCGCATACGAACTCATCGCAGTACATACTCCTCCTCAGACTCCTCAGGACTAATTTTGTAGGAAATTTGTTGTATTATCGCCTCCCAAGAGGAATACGTCGAGTTACAAGTTACCCTGTATAAATTTATACATTTAAAACTATAAAACTTAAAAATATTTAACAAAAAAATTAAAAGAATACTAAGAACTAGTTATTTACAAAGAGCGTCAACAAATTCGTTCGCATCTATGTCAATTGGGAATGTACCCAGAAGGCTGGCAGCATTGCCACTTTGTATGGCAATGCTTTACTTCTGGCCGAGGAACAGGGTTCTTACTCTTGAAACCAATCTCAATGTCAATGCAATTTCAATCCAATAAAATCTCAATAATTACCCCTATTGCAACTGTTAAAATAGCATTTCTACGGAATATAAAGCCAAACTCAATACCATTTAGTTCATTCAATATCCACGCAATACGGATGCAATGGGCGCTAATGTTGCAACTGAAGAGTACGAAATTTCACAATACCAATGTCAATCGATCGGAATTGGATTCAAGAGTAAACTCCCAGATCAGCCGAGCCCTCTGATCACGAGATATGTCGACCAAGCGTTTTGAAATATTCTTATTCTTTTTATACTCGATAGGTTGACGTTGGGCATCCATCTGGCCTGGTGGTAGACAATGATGTGGCCGACGATGGAGCACGTCTACCAAGGGGAAAATCATCGCATGACTTCTCTCGCCCGGGTGAGGCGGGAGGGATGTCAGATTCTTACTGACTAAAAACCACACCGTTCCTTCTCCTGCACTTCGAGCTAGAACCACGGTAACCAGTTTAGTCCTCCGCGGCACGTCTGTCGACCTAAGGTGTAGACATTTTGTGGGTAGGATAAAAATTAAAATGGGTTTTCCAACTTATCTGTACCAGTATTACGTGTGGGAGAGCCATGCTTCGGCATGAATGGGCCGGCTCGACCGGAGTGATACCACGACCGAGCAGGAAACCATAGAAACAACGCTTGCGTTGTGCTTCGTCGTGTGAGTGAGGTTACTGGAGGACCAATTACCCCCTCCCCAATCTCCTTAATCCCTGAATCTCCAACAATCCTGAAATTCCTACCCCCAAAAGGCCGGTAACGCACTTGTAAACGCCTCTAGTTTTCAGGTGCCCATGGTTGGCGCCGATTGCTTACCATTAGGTGATCCGTCTGCTCGTACCGGCTTATCCTATAAAGAACAGTATTGAGCTATATGTACTTTTTAAGAGTCAAAAGACTGGAACACCCTTTTCTTTTGTCCGACCCAAGCATCGAATATAATCTACGTACACACGGCTTCACATCGAGCTTTACATAACCAGTATAAACTGAACGTTAAATGTGCGGAAAGATGATGCGACGCGACACCAGGATAAACTGGTTTTGTATAGATTGATGTGTGGCCGTGTGTACACGTCGTTTTACCATCAACGGTTTTAAACATAAAAGTCATACTAAATATCCAATATGCAGCAAACAGATTAAATAATAAAAAAAACTAATTTGATATAAATACGTCAATAAAAATATTATTGAATAACATTAAAAAAGAAATATGTTTCTCAATACGAGGACTAGCCTTGTAAAATGTATTTCTTATATTATTTTATCGCAGGTAAGTACTTAAAAACTAACTAACATCTAATCTTTGAAAGATACAAATAACTACGTGTGTCGCCTGGACAGTCATCGCTACCATCAGTTGACTGGATAAACTCTTTACATGAGCTGCTGTTTACATGTGAACATTAGCTCATAACGATACCTAAGTACGTGTGTCGCCTGGACAGTCACCGCTACCATCAGTTGACTGGACAATCTCTTTACATGAGCTGCTGTTTACATGTGAACATTAGCTCATGACGATACCTATGTACGTACGTGTGTCGCCTGGACAGTCACCGCTACCATCAGTTGACTGGACAATCTCTTTACATGAGCTGATGTTTACATGTGAACATTAGCTCATGACGATACCTAAGTACGTGTGTCGCCAGGACAGTCACCGCTACCATCAGTTGACTGAACATGAGCTACTTATGATACTTAGGTCTCAAATAGCAAGTAGGATCCCAATATCTCTGGATATATATAGTAAAATAAGCAAAAAATCTTCAATTCCAGGTTATTCATCAATATTGATAGCTTCAGTATCCAGTTACGTTGTACTGGTGGGTAACCTCCATGATTTTAAAAGTATAATAAAGAACATAGGTTCAGAAAATCTAGCCACTCAAATCGAAGATATGGTTGAAGGTAGATATAATGCTAGGAAATTACATAAAAATAAAGAACAGAACGATGAAATAAATGAATATTCAGATGAGAATGCAAGAAGTCAGCAAGATAGTTTTTATGATGTCACAACACCTACTGGTAAACTATATAGGAAATACGCAATGATTGATGCACCCCAGAGTAATGAGAGACATAAGGTATCACATGTTCGTTCATCTCGACTGTCTGAACTTACAGTAGATGATATAGTAAAGAAAGTGAAACAAAAGCTACGTCATGAACTACTCAGCAATGATGGTCAAAGCAAAGTTAAATCACAGGGGGAGAGAATACCATTGGGTGCAAATAAATCCGTACGTAAAAAGCATAAGAAATCAGCTCAATTGCCTTCAGCTACTAATTTTGAGCAGAATCCCCAAGCTTATGATATAAATCCTCCAGATGAGGGTGTCAAAGAAGCTCAGTTTGAAGACGATCAAGTTCCAGAAGGTTCCCCACCGCAAGTTGTGCAAAAACCGGTAAAAACCAAAATGAAACATGGATCAAAAGTGTCTTCACCAAACGCTCAAAAACAGGGTAGGATTAAAAAGAAAAAACGAGTTCAACATGTTAAAGATTCAGAGAATCAGGTACAGAGAGATTTGCCACAAAATAATTTGCCCAAAAAATCGAGGAAAACAAAGAAGGAAGCTGGAAAGAAAATTCATAAAACAACGCCGATGACAACTTTGGAAGCACCACAAGTTGATAATGAGGCCGTAGCTGCCAATTTAGAGAGTATACCAAGCCCGAATCACGCCGACCAAGATATTTTCGAAGCAGTGAATCTACAAAAATCAAACGACAGCTATGAAGATTACGCGACTCCTGCAAAGGAGGATATGTTTGAGAGTGAAGAAGCTACAACTTCATTTTCACCATTTACCATCAATCTAAACTCTGAAACGTCAACAGCTCCTACAGCAGTAATGGAGGCTTTAGCAGAAGACATCGAAGAAACGGCTAAAGATGACGTTGTAGAATATGAGGTCGAAACACCCAAAACTGAATTGGATCTGAAAGCGCAAACAGAAAGTGTTTCTTATGAAGAAAAAGAAACGATAAGCGACTCGAATGTGACATCAACAGATCCACCAAAGGTTGTCTCGAAGAAACCTAAATTAGGTACGATGATACCTACTAGAGAATTTTATAAGTTAAGTAGTCCAAATTACTATGGAAAACTGCCGACTGTTGCTGAAAAATATAATTTTGATGAACCTATACCGGAGGCAGATAGGGAACATGAAGATTTGAAGCCTATCGCAAACCCACCATCTAGTGTTAATGGAAAAGTAAAGTTGTCTTAAGTTATTAAAGTTTTTTTTAATCATCATCATCATCAACAGCCTATAAATGTCCACTGCTGAGCAAAGCCTCTTCCCACAGAGAAGGTTTGAAGCATTAATCACCACGCTTGCTC